TTTCCAGCATTTACAGTGTTGTTATTGCCAAATGAGGTGCTTTCTCTCATTTATGCTCTTATGAGTTCAGAGTCTGACTTTTTAATTCTGAGAAAACGTTTCTAATGTACTCAAAAGACAAATGATTGTGAATTTTAAAACATCGTCCATTAACCATGGTGTTGGTGGTTTAAACCCTGACCCCTCCTGTCTGAATGTCAAATATACTTGAGCAAGAAACTGAATTGCTCTTCCTGAGTGTGCCAGCACTTTGAATTGCAGCTTTGCGAGGAATTGTGAAGTGCTTTATTCTGATCTGTGGTTTTACTCTGGCAGACTGCTGCAGCATGAAGTTAATTTAGGCTGAATTATAATTTATTGCACACACTACATCCTCAAAAATACTTGTGTTTACTGTATGCTATTGTGTCCATGTACATGATGTTCTATGAGAACAGTCATTGTAAAATTGGGATGGGCTTGAAAATATACCAACTGTGGTCATTCTGTTGTATGATCATTTTGGAGAAATATATACATGTGTTTAGAAATTTGAGCTTTGCTGCATTCAGCTCATCTTCCAGGCAAAAACCCAGCTGCTGTCTCTGTCACCCCCTCTCTGCAGGCTTGACTACTCGGGCATTGCCCTCCTGATCATGGGCTCCTTCGTGCCCTGGCTGTACTACTCGTTCTATTGTTCCCCTCAGCCTCGACTTATCTACCTCACCATTGTTTGTGTCCTCGGCATTGCCGCCATCATAGTGGCCCAGTGGGACCGGTTCTCTACACCTCGTCACAGACCTACTAGAGCAGGTGCTAACCAGTCGCTAACAGTTTTAGATACAGTGTTTTTATTGTAGTGTAATGCAGCTGTTTGCTTTGAGTTATAATTATAGTTTTATCACACATCTGTCAATGTTTTGCCTTTTCTGAGCAGCGGTGGAAATGTTCCTGCAGAGCAAACCACTAAATGCAGAGGAAACTCTGATAACATGCTGCGGTTATGAGTGACTGTTAGAAACGCCAATGTTGACTTTTTCAGAATTACACAAAGTAAAATAACAAGTCCAATGCTTCTTTTAGGTGTGTTCATGGGTCTTGGACTAAGCGGCATTGTCCCCACCATGCACTTCACCATCGAGGAGGGCTTTGTTAAGGCCACCACAGTCGGCCAGATGGGTTGGTTCTACCTGATGGGTGCCATGTATATCACTGGTGCTGGTCTGTACGCAGCCAGGATCCCTGAGCGCTATTTCCCTGGGAAGTGTGACATCTGGGTAAGTATTTGTTGTGTTTACATTATGTAATAGAACTTCTCCCACACACAAAAAAAGAAAATTGACAAATTATTATATTATACATTCGCCATGGCAGTTTTACATGATGCTCACAATGCAATGCTTCACCTTTTGCTTCTTAGATAACAAACCTCAATATTACTGATATAAGAGACTTGCTGTAGAGTATTGTTTGAAATTGTTCTACTCTAATGCTGATACAGTATCTGAGTTTTAATACCAAAACAATGCTTTTGTCCAATAAAGAACATATGAACATGTTTTTTTGTTTTTCCTCTACAAAACTCTTCTTTTAATTTAATGAAAAAGCCAGAATTCTCACATGTTACATTGTGTCTAAACCCAGGCAGGAAGAACTTTTAACTAGATGAAATACAATCTGAAATCGGTAACCATTTGACTTTGATTAGAATCATCTCATTAAAAAAAACAAGTAAACTGATTCCAATTTGACCTTTTTCAATACTTACGGTGTTACAGAAAAACATCTGGAGGTTTGATACACCGCCTATGTAGCAGTACCCCTATTAGTAGTGATTAAAAGTAATGATCTTTCACCTTAGACTGAAATCTTCAGCTGAGTGTACAGCTGACTGCTTTTTATGCTGTAGGGAAAAAGAATGAGACACTGCGATAGACTATGGGTCTTTTTCTCCTTTGTTTGATCAAACACATGATAGCAAATGATAATGAATGAAACTGATACTCACACCTCTCTTTCACTCCCTCTAGTTCCACTCTCATCAGATTTTTCATGTCCTGGTCGTGGCAGCGGCGTTCATCCACTTCTACGGGGTTTCCAACCTGCAGGAGTTCCGCTACGGGCTCGAGGGAGGATGCACAGATGATACTCTACTCTGAGAGGCCCGACTGTGACTTGCTCATACTTTTCTTTATAGCCCCACACACACACACACCACACCACACCACACCACACCACACACACACACACACACACACACACACACACACACACTTAAAATGCTGCTGGAATTCAATATATAGTCACTTATTGCTCCTTCTGTACTTCTGATTTGCGAACATCTTGTTTGGGTTTTGGTGGTCTTTTCTGTTTGGCTCTTTTTTGCTCAAATAAAGTAGCACTAACTAGCCATTGAACTATGGAGGGAATCTACAACAGGCACTACTTCTTCAATAATTATGAAGCTTGAAGTCTGCATTTTCAAGTAAGATCAAAATGTGTTTTTAACCAAAATCTTATATTCCCGTAAGTGATGGTTACTTCTTAGAAGCTCACTAGTACCCCGACCTCTTCATAGTCTGTTACGATTGCAAAAAGGGTACAGAGAGTATTATCTGTGCTGTAGCAGAGTGCACCTTTCCTTTCCTTTTCCCCCCTCCCTAGTCTCCATGCAGGTTAGAGGATGAATGTACTGTCCACCAGGAGTTCAGGTGTAGAGCAGTCTAGGACCATTTAGGTGCTTGGGGGGCCTGCACACATATTTGTATGAGGATGATGAAAGCATACACATATAGTGTGTGTGTGTAACTAGGTGTCACCAGATGTTTCTGAACTATGTTGACACTGATTGCAAAGCTGTCTGTTAAATCCTGGCGGACCACCACAAGCCCACCCATGCCCCCTCTGCAATAAAACATGAACTGTACTCTGAAGGCCCAGTGAATACTCCTAAGATTCAGCTAAAACTAAATAAAATACACCATTATGAAGGGAACATAAAGCCTAAATCATATAAATATGATCTAGAGATGTGTCTGAGTAACACAAGCTGTAATTAATTAGAATTCCCCCCAAAAATGAAGGGGTTGGATACTTGAACGTTGCCATTTATTTAAACTTAATACTGAAAAAGTTCCTTTGTGTTAATTGACAAAAGTCCCAAACAAATAGGTTTTAAATTACATAATGGCACAGAAAAAAAAATATGCTCAATTCAGATTAGACTTAAATGCTTAAAACGACCCTGCCATAATTTGTCAGTCAGACAACACATCATTAATTAAGAGTGGTAGTTCCTGGGCTACGCACAATGTACAGATCTGGATAGGTCAAATTGTGTTTTTGTCAGCTAGCGATCTTTCTTTTATGCTAGATTTCAGATGCAATCAGAGGTGTAAATATCAAATGCACCTTTAGTGTATACTATTAAATTTAAAACTTTAAATCACCATAAGGGGTTTAAAATGTGTTATGTATGATTGATATAAACTTTTAGTATTCCTGTGCCTTAGGCCAACGGAAATGTTTTTAAATAAAACGGCCTATCTTAACAGTCAAGGGAGCTTCAAGGATTTCCAGATGTTGACTTTTCTTGTTTTCCTTGCCATATATACAATCGAATCATTATTGAACTTACAACTCCATGGATAGGTTGTATCAACTGCTGTTTAAGACTCCTTTTTCTAGATCAACTTATTCAAGCTTTATTACAAAGACTAAAACAATGTGTATTCTTGACTTTGTGTAATGTCCTGTGTAGAAAGTGATAAATCATACATTTCCCTGAAATGTAAACATAAATATTTATTAATGGTAATCTTGGAAAATTATTGGAATAAATTTTTTTCCACATGTACAAACATAGTGTCCAGTTGTGTCCGTTGTGTCAAGTGCACGTTCGAGGTTCGAGGTTCGAGGTTCAGGCAGTACAAGCAGCTGGTGAGAGAGATACTCACACAGCAGAGTTTCACATCAGCAGTAAACAACTGTGAAGACAACACGGTCTATCTCTTGTTTATCACCATAAAAAACCCAGCTTCACGTCATTAGGCCTTCTCTCCTGGAATAAGCTGCTGGTTGGAGATGACTGAGAGCAGGGGATGAGTCCACAGCTATAAACCAGACCTAATTAGAAAGCACTCAGATAATGTTCCTCTTTCAAGGATTCACAGTCTTTTTTTACATTACATTTTTAATCTCCTGATCTGTATTTGCATCATAATGCAAACTATGCTGTCCTGTGAACATTTGGGTTTTATATAATAGTGAATTGTGCAAAATAAAAAAATTTTGAAACAGACTCATGACCAGAATATTGAGTAAGTGTAATGTTATAACATCACTGCACCCCCACTAACTCATCTCTGATGCTCTATAGGCGGAAATGTTTCAATCAATCAAAACACTGTCTGATAGATTGAAACATATTGTACATCCTATTCTTTTATACACGACCAGGATTGGGCTTCATTAAGTGTATATCCAGTGGGAATGATGAATAATATAGTCCGGTGTTACAGCACTTTTTAAATACATTTTTCTGGTAATACTTGTGTATTTTTACTTCACAAGTATTTTTACATTGAGGTATAATATATATATAAAAAAAGTTGAGTACATCTTCAATCATTGCTTAAATTCACAGACCACCATTTATTTAAAATCTCCGTTATTTCAAATAGCTCAGTCACAATTATTTTAAAGACAAAATGAACCACACTGCCACCCTTACTACCTACATTACAGACTGCATTGCTCTCTGAGCCTGTTAATGCGGAACCAAGTCACAGCCACACGTGTTTCTGAACGAGAGCATTTACTGGCTGGTCAACTTCAAGACTAGCTAGTATGCTAGCCTAGCTTCAGCTAACCTGTCTGTCCTACGTGTTTACTGTGGCGTTCAACCTTGTTTTCGCCTCATCATTTAGGTACGTCCTCTGGTTGAGTTCAGTGTGTTGTGTGTGACTTTAGCGGATGTGTATTGTTGTTATTTGTAAACATTAGTGAGTTTCTTTGTCACGGACTTCCGCACTACAAAGGTTCCGACGGTAATTCCGGTGCGGCCCATCTTTCTTTTCGTTCAGAAAGCAGCTCTGTAATTTAACATCAGCTAGTCAGTCCGCACGGTTAATGACTGTCTGCTGGGGGTTGGTGAGATATACGGTGTGCCGATCCTTTCATGTGCTTTAAAGTACATCTGTGGTTTGTCAGGGTTAGAGATGGACACCAGTCAGCAGTCCAAAGAGGGTCCGGACCGGTCCGACCTGGTTTCTGAGGATGGCAAGAACAACAAGTCTGTGGTGTGTCAGCGCTGCGGATCCAAGGTGCTGTGCCCGGGGATGGCTGTGTTTGCAGAGAAAGAGGTATGGTATGACATTAGGCAGTGGGCTCACACACAGCTGCCTCCAAACTCTGGATAGTATGATGTTTTATAATTAGTATTTCCACTGGTCGTATAAATAGAGTTTAATTTAATCCTGCTTTAATCTACAGGATAATAAAACCAGTGGGTGCAATGCATCTGTGTACATTTACTGTAGGTGCACATTTTAGGTACATAGATTGAGCATTTCTATGTTATCTTACTTTATATTTGTACTCCACTACTATTCCTAGATTAGATTTATCTGAATGATTGAGTTATTAAGATGTTACATTTACTACTTCTTACTACATGCATATTAACTGATGATTACATCAGCAATAATAATGAGTTTGTACTTTTACTTTTTTAAGTACATTTAGCTCATAATACTTATTCGTAAACCTACGTCAGGGATCAATTTAATACTGATGCCTCTGTATGACCTACATAAACAAACAAGACCATCAGGCTATTTCTATATAGTTATTCTTGCCACTGGGTCAGATACTGCCGGATTCCCCTTAAAATCAATGAAAGAAGGTGGTAGAAACATTATAGCTTTTGTCCACAGGGGGCACCAGAGTAAACAACAAATAGAAGTTCCCTTGTTGCTGCTTTACTGAATTTCAAACTTGTCATGGATTAAAGGATCTGAAAACGTCCTCTAACAGTAAATAAAACAATCGGCACAAATACACAGCCATATATACACATACATACTATATTACTATATATTATACATATTAAACATGCTAAAGGAATATATGCAAGGTTTCTAAACATAAATATAATATACTGAGGGCCATTTAGAGCTTTGTATACCAGGAGGAGGATCCTGTATTCTGCCAGTGGAGGTTTCTGTGGACCAGAGTGATGTAGTCTGGTTTTTCCAGCTACTCCAACTAGAAACAGACATCCCAGTTAGACTTGAACACATGGCGACCTTACTACAGATTTTTGGTTCCTTCAGAGGTGTTTTTCTGTCAACTGAGGCTGTGTTTTCTCCCACCAGCTGTTCCTACCGTCCATGCGGAAAAAGAGCGGCCTCAACTCCACGGAGGGCTCAGTGGACGGCGACACCCTGACCGCCCACTGGTTTGTGGACGACATGTACACTTTTGAGAATGTGGGCTTCACCAACGACGTGGGGAGAATCAAGTATCTCATCTGTGCAGATTGTGAGATTGGACCAATTGGCTGGCACTGTTTGGATGACAAGAAGAGTTTCTACGTGGCTGTGGAAAGGGTGAATCATGCGTAGTCTAAATGCATATGTGAGCCCACAAGAACTGAAAAAAAAATGTGTTGGCAGGCTATGCATCTTTTCATGGATTTACACCCAGTTGAGCTCAACTTAACCCAACACACTCACACTCACACACACACACACACACTCTCACACTCTCACACACAAGCTTACATATACTGTAACATGTACATCGTGTCACTTTCATTCTCCTCTCTCACAGTGACAACAGTATGACCATCCTGTTCTAATAAAGATGTTTTCGGGGGATGTTGAATGCCATCCTGCAGCTGTTTCCTTAATAATCTGATCTCTGTGTCCTGTAGCCCACAAAAATGATTCTTCAAAGTCAGTTATTAAGTAAAAATACGAAGCATTCACTAATTCCAGCTGCAGAAATATCAGTAAAATGTAACATTTTTTTTTTTTTTCCTTTTGTCTGTGTTTTGTATTGATATACTTTGAATACTTTTGGGTTTAAGAGCTTTGGTCAGACAGAAGCAGACATTGAAGAACCTGTGATGGGCATTTTTCACAAATTGTTTGACATTTTTGATAGGTTAGTAAATACGGTAAATAATAATTTTCTGTGTTTACACCCTAAAGATAAAGGGAGTTTACACAAAGCTTGTAGGGTTTGTTGTTTGTGTGAATCAGCCCTTTAAAACCACACGTTCATTGTTTTAAGCTGTAGGTCTACTGTTTGCCACTAGATGTCGTCATTTTAGTATTTGATACATTTATTATTTTGTGGCCTTTTGATGTTTTAATTGTTATTTTGTATGCGCTGCGGTCTGTCAACTAAAGGCTCTACCCCCAGTCTGTCAGCTCAGTCCCACCTAATCAGTGGTTGCTGCCAGCAGACCACACTGTGAGGAATGGAGGTGGAGGTGTTTGCTTCCCTTTGTGTGTTTTCAAGCAAAAAACCCTTTATGGAAGTAGAGTATGTTCTGAATACTATAAAAAGGTGCATTATTTACCTTATTTAACTTACTTCACACGCAGGTTTTGCACAGAAGGTGTAGAATTATGTCCAAAAAATTGAAAGACCAAACATTTAGGACAGTAAAGCTGAAAGAGATTCAGAGTTTTGAACAATTAAGCAAATACGGGCAGTTGATTTTGAAAGACACCTGTGTTGTGTAACCGTTATAATCTACTGTCCAAAATCCACCAACGGGAAGTTAAAACGAAACAGAGAACAGGGACATTCAAATCAGTCTCATATACAGAGTGAAACAAATGAAGTGGTGTGCCATCTTCAGCTGACACGTCACATCTATGAGACTGTGCTCAAACTCTCTATTTACAGAAACTATGTAACCCAAAGTCACAGATTTGTCTTAGAATGGCTTTATAATGCGATCAACACACAGATTGTCAAGAGTTTAGCTTTCAGCTAAAATGAAGACCCCCCTTTCAGTTAATAAGTGCTTACATAAGGAATGTATTTAACTTTTATAGAGGGTTCAATCAGTGTCATACTTGCATGGTTTTATGTTTGTGTGATAAGACTGAATGTAAGACTGACAAACAATATTAATAAAACAATGTCATTAGACAAAATAGATGTCAATATAATAAACATTCAGTAGATAAAGACTTTAACAACCAACAATAGATTAAATCAATGTGCAAGAGGAAGTAAATGTGTGAACAAATATCAACAGTAAGATCCTGTATATTTGATTTTCTTTTGGCACAAACAGACTAATAAAAGCACCATCAGGTCAAAGGGAGACCCCTACAATGTTAAGTGACCCCGTGCACATTGTGATACCGTGACACAAACTAAATACAAGATTTAACCAATTTAACCATTAAACTGTGGCACGTTTTTAAAAAATACAGAATTTATACGATGTAACCGTGTAACTGTTGTAGTTTGTGTTAGCGCAGAATAAATGACTTAATTAAAATGTTTATTATTAAAACATTAACAGCTGAACTATCAACATATGACCACAGTCTCGACCAATCAGCGAGCTCCTCTAGACCATTTAAAAACGAAGTGCCGGTCAGCGCGCAGCGATCTGGTGGGTGTGTTCGATTAGAGCACCCAACGTTCCGTCGCTAACGTCTATTCTTTCGGCCAAACCGGGCGGGGTGAGCCGGAGCCGAATCCGATTAATCACTTCATTTGAAAAAACCGGACTGAACTCCGTGGTCCGCACACCGGCGGGCGGACACGGTGCTCGAATCAAACGCATCGAACAGGAAACCACGGTGCCAATAAACTAAATAACGTTTAATAATGTTACAGTGTGAACTGTGTGAGGGTAAAGCTCAATGAAGGTTATTTATGAGGGGTGCTAACGTAGATTAAATTACGTTTAAGGTGGTTTATTTCCTATTAACAGAGTCTAAAAGATGATATAACTCACATATGAACACGCACTATACGAGCTGTGACTCGATTGTAAACACAATGAATGTTAGCATGAGTAATAATATCTAAACTGAGTCACATACTAACCACCGAGAGTGAGTGTGTGTGTGTGTGTGTTTGTGTGTGAGTGTGTAGCCCTGAATAATTCCTAGGGTGTCTACTTTGTGAAGCGGAGGCACATCGTCTCTGGCTGTCACCTCTCGTCTCCAACTAGATAATTCGTCTTTGAGTTCAATGAGTGGAGAGTGGGCATGAGCTGAAAAGACAAGGCATCCAAAGCGAGCATATTCGGCGTGAGGAAGCTCCCCCCGCCCTCCACCCCCTAAAAACAAAAAACCAACAAACAAAAACAAAGAATATTTCAGCTAATAGTCATAACGAAGATGCAACGATGAGTCAACCTCAGCTGAATGAGTTCATTCCCCCTCCGGAGTGCCCTGTTTTTGAGCCCAGCTGGGAGGAATTTGCCGACCCTTTTGCGTACATCAACAAAATACGACCCATTGCAGAGAAAACTGGCATCTGCAAGATCCGACCGCCACCGGTGAGGATTCATTTCTAACGTTTGTATCAGCGGTCTCTTCGTGTGTGTTAAATTAGCAGCAGGCAAAGTTGTGTTTTTAGACAGATTTCAACATGGCGGATTGCGGCTCCAGAGTTGGATTGTCAGCTCAGAGAGAGAGAGAGAGAGAGAGAGAGAGGAGTGAGAGAGTGAGAGAGTGTGTTGTGTTTGCACTCTCAGACATTCAGGAGGAGAAAAATATATCAAGTTTTAAACATTTCAACCCCACAGACATACGAGTGTTTGTTGCCATAGTTACAGAGCGCGATTTTTCTTAATAATAATTCAAAAAAGCTTTTTTAAAGTTCGCCTCTATGCAAATATAATGGAAATTGTTTACGTTAGCGCAAGGATGAAAATGCTTCCTGGACTGGGCTGCACGGAAATAGCTCATATAAGAATAAAATAAAAAGGGTTTAAAGACACCGCTTTTACTTAGTTAGTTAGTTAAATATATATATATAGCTTATAACTTTCTCCCCCGACGGGATGTGACGGATTTAGCCGTTGTGTGGTAACCTAGCTACCGTTAATCAGGCCCCGTTTTGAAGCCGCAGTTGTCGGACTCCGCTCCGTACGTGCTCGGTGACCAACTGTTTATGGAGAGGAGGGTCGGACACTGTCAATGTCTCATCCCTAAAACCACTTTAATTACATTTATTACTTACTGTTGACAGCCGGGGCTTGTATGCGAAGTGTTTTTATATTATTTTGCTGTAATAAAAACAAGTCCCGGACGTTTTATATCTTATTGTGATGTATATAATTTTTAAATTGGGTGATTATTCTGCTATAATCCACACTTCACTTCAGTCACATGAGAGGAATATGAAGTCTTTAAGGGCTCAAAGGAGATTAAATATATACTATACTATTTTTTAACCCTGTAATTCAAACTCAAGCCACATTTATTTCTGATGGCTGTTACCTTATTCAAGGGTGTGTCCAAGCTTACACGCAAATTAGATAAAAGGGCAAATTCTGCAAAAATAAATAAATAATATTATCCTGACTGACTGGCTAATGTAATTTCTGGCAGTCATCAGTGAGTCAGTTTAAAGACCTTAAGGTCCTGGGTTGAAAATGTGTTTTCTTTTGATCTGTGTGCTTACCAGATAACATGAGACTTGTTTCTTGAAATTGGGAAGCTGTAAAAACCACTTTTGCTCGGTTTAACAGGGCGGGTAGGGGGTGAATGGGCTGCAATATAACCAAAAGAGATTGCTGTTGCTGGTAAAGATGCATTTAAAGGCATGGTTGAAAAATGCACAGCTCATGTAAACAAAAGAAGGCAGTGCTGAATCCACGTTTATCCTCACATTGAATAAGTCCAAGGAACTGTTGGTTGTCCCATTCACTCACCATTTATTATTTAAAAATATTTAAGAGTACTCTCTCTAGCCTGATCAGCTTCAAGTCGTTTGTGTTTACTGGCATTTTTATGACTGTTTTAAACTAAATACCATATGGTAAGAAGCAGCAAATCCAATGAATTCAAACACAACGCCTGTTTCTACTAGACCAGTATTTAGATCGGATTCATGTGCGAGGAGGAGAATTGATATTTAATTGAAATCACATTCTTTTTAGGTCACCTCCACCATTTGTCCCGCACTGTGTGAGAACCATTGTCTGCTGTCCTGTGTCATGCACCAGCAGTTTCTTCTGAACATTCAGATCAAAATTCTGGCTCCAAGGGGTTGTGTGCGGGCCAAACAAACCAACAAACAATCTTAAATCCTCCAGCAACGTGAATCTGAGCTCATTGAGAGTGGACTTAGTACATTTATAAGTGTGTCCGTTTGTCTGTGTGTTTGTATAAAGCGGACAGCACTGGGCATCCTGGAGGCTTGTATGGTGAAGGTACACAATGTGTAGATGTAACTTCCTGTATTTTTTTTGATATGATCTGAGTCCTCCTTTTATTTGTTTCTCTCTTTTTATAAACATAACGTTTTTCGGGGTTTTTTTTTTTTTTTTTTTTAAGAAAGGAAGAAGACATGACAACCTGTTTTTGATCAGTGATTTCTTGTTGCACGGTATGCAGCCTTCAAGGTTTTACAGGGATCAGGTTTTGACTGTGTATGTTAGTAGCACACATGCACATTGTCAGTGATATCTTAAGGCTGTTTGTGGTCAACTTCTCTCCGCCTATATTCGCCATTTTCCACTTTGCGGAAGGTTTGTCCTGTTTAGACAAAAATGATGCTTGTAATGTTAACTGGTGTGGTCACGCTTGTGTGTGTGGATAGGTCAAAAAAAAACCTCAGTGCACTTCCATATGTTTCAAATCAATTGTTTTCCTTTTGTGCCAAGACATTTGTGGTTCTA